ATATCGCACTCCTAATTTTTCGTGGACAACTGTACATAGAAGGAAATAATTCCACAAAAAACCCGTATTTATAGTATGATGAACCATTCATATTTAGGCCGTACTACATATAATACTTGAATGGAAAGTAATAACACTACAGAAAATTTAGTCGTTACGTGACGCGGGGTGGGTTTTTTTTTCTTTTTTTATGAACCACTCATAAAAGCTTGTCGTAGAAAATATTTTTTTAATTAGGTCCTTGTGTTTACACATAAGTTGATTTGATTTATTTTTAATATAATTGAGTGACTTAAAAATCAAAGTGTAAGTAAATAAATAAATAACTAAATAAAAACACACACATAATACATTCATGTTGTCAATTTTACGCTTAAATTAGCTCTTTGTTTTCCAAATAGCCAAGAAGACAAGGAACAAAAGGGAAGCAGCGCAAGTACTGAAAATATTTCGCGGCGTATGTACTGTATACAAAACAAAAACATAATTCAGCTGCGTCACTCGCAATACTAACAGATATTTGCATATATATTTTTGTATGTATGTACATACATATTTTCATTAATATAGTCGAAAGAACAGTCGGTGAGTTAGTCGAATCGCCTAAATGTGCCTTGGACCGAGGAGGTCTTATGCGTGATGCTTACAATTGTTCTCTGAAATGTCTCGCTTTTCAATTTCCATCACGCGCGCGTCAATTGTTATGCACTTTTTTTTTGGAAAATTGTTTATTGTATTCTATGTACTATGTATGTTTTAGTCTTACTGGCACATCTTGAGATTGTTTGTTTTTATATGCCAAAAAAAAAAATGTGTGCTGCCCTGATTTATTATTATGTATTTCTTTTAACAATTTAACTTGATGTGTTTACTTGCTTTGTTGCATTCAACCGCACATCTGCATTTTCCTGTTGTTTTGAAAAGTCTTCGTTAACTTTTTTTCTTTTGCAAAAGCAATTAAAAGTAAATTTATTGAAAGTAATGATGGCACCAAGGACAGACGAATCAAAATGTGTCAATTTGCAGAGGATGCATTTAACTTTACTTGTACATGTACTACTTATGTATATAGGCCTGTTCTTTTCTTTATAAATTTCATCAAAACGATTTCGTTCCGAAAGCGTACAATTCGTCTTTCGCTGTTCGGGCGAACGTGGTGCACTAAATTTCAATTCTTTAGGATGAAAGACCGAGACTCATATAGTAAAACCTCCAAATATCTTTGCATTTTCAGGAATTTTTTTATTTTTATTTCCATATTAAGTTTGCAATTTTTTGCGCGACTGCTTATAGGTTAAGTGCAAAAAAGGGTTAAAATTCATATCGGAGAGAAATCTGAAGTTAGCTCTCTCACGAAAGGGTCATTTTGACCACTTTATTAGAAATTTTGAAAAAAATGGAATTTGGGAGGTCGCCAAAGGGTTAAAGAAAATTATTGCACAGAAAATTTCACCAGGGGTATTCTCAGACAAAATATTCATACAAAGAACGTAAAAGACCGCGGAAAATAAGAAAAATATACGCTTCACATTTTCATCACGAAATTGTCCTTCGTCATAACTTTAAATTTTTTTTACAAAGTTTATCAATTGAAAGGAATGAATAAAAATAAACAACTTTCGAAAAAGCTTGAAAATTTCCTTATCTTTCGAGTTTAAAGGCCTGAATCTCAAAAAGTATTGTTTCGATGGACAAAAGATATATATCAAAGCAATGAGGCTAAATATATAGAAGAATGGTTGCATTCGCTTTTCGTTTTTTTTTATCTCAAAAAAGCTTCTTTAGAAAATTAAATGATACTTATTTTCATGTTTAGCACCCCTGAATAAGTCTAAAAGAACACTTTTTAGGGAAGTCCTTTCTTCATGTAAACTACATAGTGTATTTAATGAATTCGTAATGTATCTATTTTTTATGTTTTCCTTTTACGAGTCTTAAGCTCAGAATGTTTGTTTAGAATGGAAACTGTATGTGCCCATGTACCTAAACAAATAAAATTTTGGAAATTCGTTCTAAAAAAAAAAATATAAAAATGTTAAATCGATATATGAATATTTCTTTCTGGCAACACTGATTACTTCACTTGTCAGGGTGAAAACAGTAGTTGCATTCCAGATGCTTCACGATTTGCAGGTTTTTACAGGAAGTCGTTCCAGGTGACCACCTTAAGGTTTATTAATGGAGAAAACAGCTGTTCCTGCAAATCGTGAATATCGTGGAGCATCTGGAACGCAACTAGTATCTCATACGTTTTGACAGGTAACAGCCTCACGATAAGTGTAGTACTATTTAAAGATAAGGTAGTTTACAATGGCGTCTACTCAGACAGTGGAGATGAAGAGTACGAGCAAGGATTGCCCCGTCTAGTAGCTATTTCGGCTAGTAAAAATTTTACTAGCAGAAATTAGCAGGAGAGCCAAAAAAAGAGGAGCGTAAGAACGAGAGAGAGCTGCTAGTTTCTGCTAGCTTTTGGGTTAAGAAACGCCTTGCGACTTTGACTTTGCAATTTAGTCGCAAGAAATTTTTCATTCAAAAGTAAGCAGGTGTATTTCGTGATTTTTTTTTGTAGCACCGAGTAATTCATTCATAAAAATATAAATTATTTACTACATATTTTAAGCATTAATTTCAATTTCGTCCAAATCAGGTTGATACTTTCAGGTAAATCCTTTTTGAAATTATCCAAACTCTCCGATCCGATGGGTTTAAGTATAAGGCAGATTGGGACCATTCTACCACTGGGATAAAATCTGGGAACAATTTTTCTTTTCACCAACTTTTCGCATTTCTCGCTTTACTGGTCGGGAAAGAATCCTGTCGAAAACTGAATTTTCCATTTCCAAACGTTTGCACCGGAATCATTTAATACTTTTCTTAGCTCGGGAGATATAGGACATTTTAGCTACGAACTTTTCATTCTCTTTGGGATTATCGAATGGATGTAATTGAATAAAAATCTCATTGGAATGGATAATTTATGTTTCTGTATGCCTTTGCCTTTTCTAAAAGTTTCCAATTAATGGACGAAGTAACCGTAAAAATTCAATTCAGTGGCATTGCTGAAGAAATAATCTAGGTTGCTTAGGTGCGACAGTTATTATTTTACACGTTGTAGGTATGTATATACACATATGTATGTACTAGGGATGTTGCGAATGTGGAATTTTATACATCCGCGGGATGCGAATGCGGATGCGGATATTTAAAAACTAACATTCGCGGATGCGAATGTCGAGTATTTTTGAGAAATAATTTAGGTGAATGAATTAGGTGATTTAGGTAAATAAAAAATGGAAAGGTTAGTAATTTTTAATAATGTTTTTTTTCGTACTTTAATTTAAAAATTGGAACATTGTATTTAATAAAAACTTTTTATTAAAAAGTAATGTTGTTGCCTTTTCGGGTTACAGCCCGAAATAAATCGTAATCGTAAATCAAACCTGCGCCACTAAATTACTACTCGCTCGAGTTGAGAGAACTTTGAGTTATATTAATTTTTTTCATTGCGGTGCAATAATTCCTTTTTGAGAGTTGCATCGGGGCTGCAAATGTCGGATGTATCCTCCTGACTTTCATCTTCTTCACAATCTAGCATAATGGCAAGATCGTTGTTTAAACACCGTTGTTTTCCAAAGAATTCTTCATTATCATTCTTTTGGTTGTTTCTGAATTTCGAGGACCTGTAACGTCACCAGCGTTTTTCGATTTTAGTTTTTGTACAGGGACCGAAAATAACAGTTACATTTTACGAATTAAACTTAGCAAAATATTTTTTAATCCGAAATAAAAGTAATTTCCTGTTAATAAACAAGGCGCTTATACAAATTAAACAGAAATAACGAACGAAGGTTACTACCTCTATTGACATTTTTTTTATAATTTAATACTAAAGAAATTCATATACCTGAAATTGTTTATTGAAATATTTTTGAATATGTGGCTTTCCTCGTTTAGACATTTCAGTTTTAAAAATATTTACGTCCTCTTGCATTTGATATCAAACTTGTTTAATTTGGATAAACGGTTTGTTTATCATCTTTTTTTATTTCGGAATAAAAAATATTTGGCCAAGTTTAACTCGTAAAAAAATAACTATTATTTTTGGTTTCTTTAATATTCGCATTCGCAAAAGATCCGCATTGATTATTTCGAATGCGAATGTTAAACTTAATGCGGAAGCTCCGCGGTTGCGAATGCGAATGCGAATATTCGCAACAACACTGGTATGTACATGTGCATGTATACACATGAGAATCAGGCTGCTAGTTTATTGTCAATTTAGGTTGTGGCTTTTGGGGTCAGACTCATTGATACTCGTATTAGTAAATATGCAATTAGCAAAAAGTTCTGAATAGTGAAATATGTATAACACCGTGCGACAAAAACAAAAAATAGTACATAGTTAGTGCAATGTAGAATAACAATATGGGTACCAAATGAAAGAGCAAATTCTGTAGAACTTAAAAACATTGCAGTTTTTTGTTTACAAGAACGAATAAGTATTGAAAGTGCACTATTAATTAATTTCATTTTTTTAAGCTAATAAAGTTAGGAGGACGGAATTCGAGGATGTGGTCGTGTGTACATATATTAGTTCTTAAGAAATAATTATTTCAAAAATAAATAATGAAAATTTTTTAGGATATTGAAGGACAAAATTTTTAAAGAACATTTTCCATACTTAAAAATTAAAAATTTTTTAATTCTTCAGAATTTTCTCTTTTATTTGATACCCACATTGTTGTTGAATATAGCACTGATTTTTTTAAATATTTATTTTTTTGAATTAATCACAGCTTTGAAATTTCAGTCCTTTTAAAAAATCCTGACGTCAGAGAGAAAAACGAAATACACAATTTTACTATATTTTGCCCACAGCTTCGTGAGTATATTCATTTTAGTGTGTGTAAAATTTACTGCCGCACGGTGTAATCAAGAGAATTGACCAAAAAAAATAATACATACTTACCATGACATGTGGTCACTACCATAGCAAATTGCATTAAAATTTACAGTCAGTAGCTAATTACCTGCAACTTTAATGGCTTTAACCACAAAAACTCACACACATATGTACATACAAATGTATCCCCCCGGCCGGTCAAATAAGAGAAAAAAAAACAACTCACCTGTGTGCCTTGCGCAAACTGTCACGACGTCGTACCGACGGTTCGTTGTTCTCCTTATTGCTGTCATCTTTGCGGCTCGCTCTCCTCTTTAGATATGGACTCGCGTCATAATCTACGTAATCAGCATCGGTTGCTGCATTGTTGTTGTTGGAGGAGAGCTGTTGCTGATTGCCGAGTAATTTTGTTGTTGCAATAATTTTATTATAAATATTTTTGACTAAAATATCTTTGGCAAAATCCACAGCGAATTCACCGCCATGTCCATCGAAAATGGCAAACAATGAGATACCTGTATTATTATTGATATTCTCTTCGATAATGTATCTGAAAAGGTGGGTGGCGAAAAATGGAACGAAATATTAGAAAAAGCTACAACAACAACAAAGTATTTGTGTGTGGAAAAAACAAGTGGTCAACAACCGTTTGATGACGAAAATGGAAAAAAGAAAAGTGTGTGTGTTTTTAATCTAAATGAAGTGCGGTGGTGGTGTTGATTGCATGTACTACTAGTTTTGTATGGATATGTATCAACTTATTTACATAGGTATTCGAGTACAATCATACATATGCACCTGTGCACAAATTTTTTTTATATATCTGCACATTCATTCCTAGATATGCAGCTAATATTTTACTACATATGTAAGTACAGGTAAAATGGTGTTACGGAATGGGTGAGTTAATTTCGATATGAATGAAAGGATGGGCCGCAATAAAATTAAAACGCGGCGCTTACGCCCAACCATATGAGTATTCATACTTTTGTGTTTGTTTTGTGGTCTGTTTTTTTTTTTTTTTTTGGTTTACCAAGCAAAGCAATTAGCTAATGGAATATTTGCTTCCAAATTAATGTCCCTGCATACATACATACATATGTACATAAATATACCAATCAAATAGTCATGTGGTTTGCTGCGTTGTTGATAAAAAAGAAATTATAACTGCAGTAAAACATTAAAGCATCATTACTCATATGGGAGGGCATCAGACATAAGTGGGTAAGGAGTTTGAGAAAATCAGGCCGGCTTTTGGCGTGGAGATTTATGGTTTTGATAACAACGAAAAAATATGTATGTAATTGGAAAAAAATCGATAAATGTATCCAAATGAATATTGAAAAATTAATTGATAGATATTTCAATAAGAATATCGATAAATATGTCGGTTAATAAATCGATAACTGCACGAATGTAGACATCGATAAATATAATGATAGTTAAAGCGAACAAAAATATCGTGAAGCCAACTCTCCAACATTTGGTAGACAAATTTTGTGATTCAACACTGTAAAAGATTTTTTGTGGGCTTTTCTGAAGTAACGAGCGTTTCTTTAGAGGCTCTGGTTTCCGATAACGATTAAAGGGTCAAGATTTGGTCAAATCAGACACTGCCTATTATCAATTGGGCGCAGTTTGTGTTGCCATTTGAACGTGAATAGTCTAACACTAGAACAACGCTTGCAAAATGTGGAAATTTTTTGCGAAAACCATCGACATAATCGTCCATCTGATCGACTAATTCGGCAGACCAAGGTCATTCTCACGACAGCCGCTTATACGTACCGGAATGACTCGGGTTTTACCCGACCAAGGGCTATTGTTTCTGCGATCTAACCCCGTTTAGGTCGGCGAAATCTCTCAAACGTTGTTCGCAACTGGGGCTACATCTGTTCCATACTCTTATGTTCAGGGCTGGCATAGAGTCTAACCCAGGACCAGAAATAAACACCTGCTGCGTATACCAGAGACGATTGCACGCAAACTCCCACTCGGTCAGGTGCACCACTTACGGCGAGTGGTGTCACCTCCGAATCTGCTCGGGCTTAAGAACACACCGGCAGTGGACCACGTCATTCATGGGCCCATGCTGTGCTAACCAGACCGCCTCCATGGCAGACCGGAGCTCGCCCGAGCAACACAACACTAAAAGGCCCTACACACGCATTGATTTATCGGCCAACCAGTTGAACAACCTACTTAGCGAAATTCCCTACAAACGCGCGAACTAGTTGGCCGATTTCATTTGAGTCACAGCTTTTGAACTGTGAACAACACAACAGCACTGGTAAATTTTTAAGCTATGCTAGAAATGCTTCTCATTTTTATGTATTTGTTATTGCTACCGCCCCCGTTTTCATAAATTATACGCATTTTCACTAGCGAAATGAACCACATGTTAACGTTATTTTAGGTTGCCAACTTGTCTACACAGAGAGCAACAAGTTGACCAACCTGCCTCAAAAACCAAAAATTTTTGATTTTTCTCCAACCTGACGAACAACTTGACGAAGGTTTGCCAACTTGCCTACACACGGCTTATTTACCACCAACTTCTAGCGGTTGGCCAACTGGTTTGCCGATAAATCAATGCGTGTGTAGGGCCTTTAACTCAACAACACCCCGACACAACACAGCCATAGACAGACACGCGGACACAACCGCACCCTCACCAACACGCCGCCGCCAACAGCGCCTAGTTTCTCCAACAATCTCCTGAGTGTGTCGGTCCATAATATACCGTTACGTGACATCAGTCAAGTGCAATTCCTGCCTTGTCTGGTGCACCTTTAGGGCATGTTCAGGACTGCGCACCCCCGCAACTACGTGGAGCCCTGTTGTACTACATCTGCGAAGCCGCCCACTACCACCACAAGTCAGCACCCCGTTAAGCATCACACACATCGAACGGCCACCAGGCAACACAACTCCCTCACACTCCACATTGCAATCAGTCTCCTAAGGCACACCCTACAATTCAACGATAACGGACTTCAGGGCAAGATTGAGGATATAACCGTCTTCATGGGTCGACATGGAATGTTGATAGCAGCGGTACAAGAGACAAAGCTGCACAGCAACTCAACATTGTTGAGCTGCGTCGGATAGGCACAATGTGCACCGTCCAAACACCGCGAGCGATATAATGGTGGACGAAGCAGGCAACGACCGCAGGGATACAATCCTAGAATGTCAGGGTTTTCGAGGGTATTCGATCAGGCAATGTCGAGCTCAAAATATATATATGTATATATGAAGTAGGTAAAAAACGAATGGTAGTTGGTGACTTCAATAAGCACCACGATTTTTGGTATTCAAGCCTGTCGAATGATCGTAGAGGAATATACGAATGAACGACAATGCAAAGAAATTCATATCCGATACAGTATGTCAATGTTTTAATCATATGAAAATATTAAAATTTACGTTTTCCAGTGTATTTTAAATATAAAACAAGGGCGAAAATTTCCAATTTTAACACAGTTGTGATCGTTTGATATGTTTATTTGACGTTGCTAATTTAAAAAGTTGCCAGGTAATTCTGCATTTGGCATAAACATTATCTTTTAGTTGCTAAGTTACGGTGCACAGTGGTCTGAAAATGGCAGAAAGTACAAGTTTCAAAATGTCTCGAAATACCCAACTAAGTGGTTGGCTAGACTAAAGACATGCCTATTAACAATATTTATGGATTTCGCGAAAAAAATGGCACCAGTAGTATTGAAAGAACACTTGCTGTCGGCGTTGTATGATTCGCATTTTTAAGTCAAAATTCGAACAGGCATTTCACAGACTCAACACTGGTAATTGAATGATCGGACTTTATTGGTTTTATTTGCTCCATAACGGGATTTCACCTTTTTTCCTAGTCCTTTCAGAGTTGACATTTTTATGATTTAAAGCATTTTCAATTACTTCATAGATAGTGTAACTGTTTATCATTGGTAACGTTTACCATTTTCGTACCCTAGGTAGGTGGGTGGGGCAGTTTGCCAATCTATGTGATTTTTTCAGATTTCTTCATTCCTAAGAAAAAATACCACAGCCAACAAATTACCAGTAAAATCGAAATACAATTGGAATTTTTCGCCATATTTTTTATGGGGCTCTACCACTGTGCGGCGCAGATGGACAAGTTTACATACAAAAAATTATCAGCTGCCAGCGGTAAATTAAATGATTCTGGTAAGCAGTTAAAACAATGAAGCAACAACAAAACAATGACTAAACTAAACAACGTCTGCATTACAGGGCAAATAAAAATTAAACTTGCACGCGTTTTGATAATGATGATTTAATTCCCTCATTGGATTTCAATCATACGAGGCATGCATATGTAAATAAGTACATACTATATGTATGTATGCATGTATTCATGTGTGCAAATTAGGGTGGTCCAAAAATGCATGTGAAAAAGTAAAGTCGGAATTTTATTGGGATGAGCAAATCTTTGTCATGCTACACTCATACATACATATGTACGTACACTAGGGTGGTAAAAAAAAAAAAAGTTTAGTCGGAATTTTAAAGTTCTCACCCCCTAGGATTGTTCTGAGCCGAAAAAATATACGCCTCTTTTTTTAATTTGAAACCGAAAAATATTTAGAGGTCGCTCAAAGCGCTCAAACTTTTCCATGTATTTTATATGGGTTCCCACATTGCATTTTTTGGGTTTTTAAGGGTCCTATACAGAATAGTTAATATAAAAAATATTGTTAAATAAACAATTGGGTATTATTATTTAAAGTATCCTGAACATTTTTCCAATCGAAAAATATTGATTTTCAATTTGAATTCCATACCATTACTACAATTTTTTTTTTCTCATATAAAATACATGGAAAACTTTGACAAAACAGGGCATAATTTTTTCAGTATGGAACAATCCTAGGGGGTGAGAGCATTAAAATTCCGAATTATTTTTTTTTGGACCACCGTAGTGTACGTACATATGTACATATGTATGAGTGTAGTAACATGACAAAGATTAGAGCGTATAAAACCAAAATTGGTATTAATGTACAGATGTATTTGCGTATTTCTAAATAAGTATGTATGTATGTAGGTAAATATTGATTTTTATTTGACATTATAGCATTGCTTGTCATCAACTTGTCTCTACTGAAGTCTGGAACTTGACAAAAAATCAATTAAAAATATATTGCTTGGATGAAAAGTTAATTTTTAATTTTTTTTAATCTTTCATTAACGTCTCAAATCTAATCTTGGGATTGAACAAAGTTACGAAATAAAAGAAATTTGAAGATTTTATTATTTAAAAAAAATAGCTAAAATAACTTTTGACTTGGATCAATACAACAACAGTGCAATCGATGAACTTGTTTCGACTTTTAGTGTTGAAGCACTCATCAAGGGTATTTCTTTTTTTTAAATAATACTGAAGAATATTTTGAAAAACAATAAAACCACATTTACTGACAAATTTTTATTTTTTTTGTCTTCTTAGCTACATCGACTAATGCCGATAATACATAGATACTTTTCGTGATGAGCATCGATTCTGAGACTATCAGGCAGGTTCTGCAA